AGAGGAGGGGAGGGGAGGGGAGAGGAGGGGAGGGGAGGGGAGGGGAGAGATGCTGACCTGTTGTGCCTTTGGTCATACAGAGCGGTCGGTGGAGGGTTGCAGCTTTGTGAGTCATCACCCATGCTTGGGCAGGCTTTCGGTGATGCCACTGAGTCATCCATGCTCCTGCCAGTAATGCCAACAAACGCCTTGGTTTACCGAGTTGTGCTGTGGTGGTGTGAATTTGACTTGTCATGAGCTCCCTATCCAGGGTGAGGAGATGCTACTTGGTGTCTCTCCAGGAGTAGTGTCCCACCATGCAAATGATGCCTGGACGGTGTAGGCAGGTCCAAAGATGAGTTTGAGAGGGGTGATTGCGTGGCCCCTGCAACAGGCACTGAGACAAACAACTGAAGCTCCCCCAGGGGAGACCCCAATATGGCCTCCTCTCCCTGTGTGCTCTGCTGGAGTGGTGGTCACATGCACCCTGTGGTGGATGGTAGGGCACGCAACCAATGCTGAGCTAAGAATGAAATGTCTGTGGAGGGACTCCAAGGATGGCCATCATCCTCTACTTGGTATGGAGTGGCCTCCTTGATGAGTAGGGTCCATCTCATGAATACAGGGACGTCCCCCAAACAGCGGATGGAGTAAAGAATGTATTACAGTCCCTAAAAGTAACACATACAAGAGGGGACGGTAAGCAGGCTGTGACGGTAATTATGTGGGCCCTGCTGTTGGCCCAAGACATTCAAGTGAGGCTCAGATGTCTCCCCAGAAGGGAGGAGTCACCACAGAAGGAAGACATGCAGTCGTTAACCTCTACATCAGCGTCCTGTGTGGAAAATAAAGTAAAAAGTGCCGATGGTGACATCAAGGTGCTGGCTTACTGCTTACAGCCAGGGGACTAAAGTGAACGCTACTTAGATGCTAAAGAGCCCTTACTTGGATCCAAAGAGCTGGAGCTTGTGGGAAGAGTCGGATGATGAGGAAGAAAGAGAGAAGGGTAAAGGTGTTAGGGATCCTGTTCGACCTGCAACACACAGAAAGCGAAATCCTAGCTCAGCCTCAGACTGAGGCAAGAGAACATTCCGAATGGCTTGATGCAGGAGACAACGGAGCACAGAGTGTTCTGTCTCTCGATTGCTTGCTTGGAAGAGTGGGAAACAAGCAATGACAGAATCTGTGGCAGCCTGACTCATGAGGCTGTAGGGTATGGAGTATCCTTGCTAGGGATTTTATTGCTGAGATGAAACACCAGGACCAAAGCAAGTTGGGGAGGAAAGGGTTTATTGGGCTTACACTTCCGTATCGCTGTTCGCCATCGAAGGAAGTCAGGGCAGGAACCTGGAGGCAGGAGCTGATGCAGCGGCCGTGGAGGGCTTGCTCAACCTGCTTTCTTATAGAACCCAGGACCACCAGCCCAGGGATGACACCACAGACAATGGGCTGCCCCCCCCCATCAATCACTATTAAGAAAATTCCCTTTAATCCCAGCAATTGAGAGGTAGAGGCAGGTGGATCTCTGTGAGTTCGAGGCCAGCCTGGTCTTCAGAGTGAGTTCCAGGATAGCCAGGGCTACACAGAGAAACCCTGTCTCAAAAAACAAAAACAAAAAAAAAAAAAAGAAAGAAAGAAAGAAAGAAAGAAAATCCCCTACAAGTAGATGGTGGTGGTGCACACTTTAATCCCAGCTCTCAGGAGACAGAGGCAGGCCTATCTCTGTGAATTCTAGGCCAGCCTGGGCTACAGAGTGAATTCTAAGACAGCCAGGGCTACACAAAGACATCCTGTCTTGAAATCAGAGGAGGAAGAGAAGAGGGAAAGATAGATAGATAGGTAGATAAATAGACAGACAGACAGACAGGAAAGAAAATGCCCTATGGCCTGCCTACAGCCTGATCTTATGGAGACATTTTCCCAGTTGAGCGTCTCTCCTCTCAGATGACTTTAGCTTGTGTCAAGTTGACATAAAACTATCCAGCACTTGGAGGCTGATGGGCTTAATCTGAGTGCCTTGGGAATGGAGAAACTATTTATCCCCATTGAGACAAAGACTGCATAATCTGAGAAAAATCAGTCCCGGACAGACTGGCTCATAGGATCGGTTTGGGACCCTTGCGTATGGCCTGCTGAGGTTCCCCTAAGTATCAGACCCTGGGGGAATGATAAAGGAAGGAGGTGTTATTAAGAGAATCAGGCATGAGAGAGGAGATGCTT